GGCTGTGAGTCTACGTCTGTTTCCATCAGTTGTTGGATGACACCTCTTGGATGACAATTGGGCTTGGCACCATTCTTGTATATGCTATTTCTAGGAATCTAAGCTGGGTTCTTCTTTGTAGATTCCTGGGAGATTGACTTGTGCCAAATTTTTACCTGAATTGGAAATGTACCCCCATATCCAGTAGTACCTTTCAGTATTCCCCATTTCCCCAACCTTATTGCTCATGTTCACATCCCAAACCACCTTTAGTCAACTCACAAAAACCTCTTCTATTTCCCTTCCCAGGGAAGTCTGGATGTCCCCTGTGAACCCTTCTTGTTACCTAGCATCTCTGAGGCTGTGGATTGCAGCATGGTTCTCCTTAATTCACAGCCATTATCTACTTATAAGCATAGCATGTTCATCTTTCTCAGTCTGAGTTACCTCACTCAGGATGATTTTTTTTCTAGTTCCTATTTTACTTCAAATTTCCTGGTGTCCTTGTTTCTAACTGCTGAGTAATACTTCCTTGCGTAAATGTACCACATTTTCTTCATCCATCCTTTGGATGACGAACATCTAGATTTTATTTCAGGGTTCTGGCTATAACAAAGTTTCTATGAACATAGTTGAGCAAGTGTCCTTGTGGTATGATTGAGAAACTTTCAGGTATATGCCCAAGAGTTGTATATCTGGATCTTGTAGTAGATTGATTCCTAATTTTCTGAGAAACTGCCACACTGACTTCCAGAGTGGCTGTACAAGTTTTCACTCCCACTAAAAATAGAGGAGTGTTCTCCTTGCTCCACAACCTCTCCAGCATGAGTTGTCACTTATGGTTTTGATTTTAGTCATTCCGACAGATGTAAGATGGGATCTCAGAGTTGTTTTGATTTGTAGCTAACTTTTTATTCTTTGTAAAATACAGTTTGATAAAATAAATTCTGTTAGCCAACATTTGTTACTTATTTGTCTACAGTTAGAGAACATGTTCTTTTGTATGCTTACAATTCTGTATGCTAGAACTTCAGTCTCTGGGAGAGGTCAATTCTCTGCCCAGACCCCAGCATAGTATAGCAGTCATTTAGTGGGACATGCTGAGTGACTAAGTGACAGAGCATTTTAAACAGTGTTGCTGCCTATGTACAATTTACCAGTGAATCGATAATAATAGAGTTACTGAGGGTTCTTCTCTGGTCCTGACATTGTCTTCATGGAAATATCCATTTTACAGCAGTTCTTTAAGGCTGATCCAGCTTCTACACTTTGTGATGCACAGGGCAATCTGAAAAAGAGGCTGGTCATCATGGTCACCTCCATCATAAATAGACCTGGGTATGTGCTGTCATTGTGTGTGTATGCTGGCATGTACTACTGGGGGGGAGTGCTGCCCAGTCTTCTTTTCACCTCCAGGTGTCTTTAAGTAAGATAAAAAAGGATAAATGTTATCATGGCTCAGAGATTCAACATTAGATTCTCCAAGCAGATAGGAGATATGGGTACTTGTCACAGGTCTTTGCTAACTTAACTATTTTCTTGGACTGATGAGAAGCAGAAGGAACTGTTTGTCTACTCATGATTTCTTTCATTCTTTTTTGGTGCTCTTGGGAATGAGAGCTTCAGAGACAGGCAAATGGCAGTTTTAGAGTGCATATTCCAGTCTCTAAGCCTCTGCCTCTGTGAGGAGATTCTCATGAAGCAAACATCTCTGCCCCAGAGATCAGTACAGAGTTCAGCCAGTGCTTCACTGTGAATTTCTGACCATCTTGGGTCTTGTGACTAAAGTTTCCAATCTCCATGTGTGTGCTGGCACTTCTGGTTTTACGGGACACTACATTATGTCAGGGTTTTTAGAAGTGAAACTTAAGAGTAGGCTACAGCGTCAGTGTCTCAGGCGGTTCAGCTGATGCTGAGTGGCAGGAATATCTCTATTAATTCACTGACTATTCCACTATTAAGACAGAATCCTTGCTTGTGGCAACTAGAAATTGTAATCGACTTTCCTTTGGGCTGCTAGCTCACAAATAATAAAACGGAGACTTACTATTAATTATGAACGCTCGGCCTTAGCGTCCCACTAGCTCTTATAACTTAAATGACTTTAACCTGCTTTTATAAATCTGCATTTTACCATGTGACTTTTGCTTTTATTTTATTCTATATGTCCAACTCCCTTCAGTGTTTCATTGGCATCTCCCTGTGCCTTGATCATCTCTTACTCTTACTTATTTTCCCTGGGAACTCCATCTATACTTCCTGCCTAGCTATTGGTCATTCAGTTTTTAATTATGCCGGTCACAGCAATACACTTTCATACTGTACAAATATCCTTCAACAGGAACTTACCCTGTTTATATAAGAGTTTCACAAAAATTATGTATAAGAAAAGAAAGAAGCTGGAGAGATGGCTCAGTGGTTAAGAACACTGGCTGCTCCTCCAGAGCACCCAGGTTCAACTTCCAGCACAAACATGGTAGCTTAAAACTGTCTTAACTCCAGGTCCAGAGATTCTGACACCCTCATACAGACATACATGCAGGCAAAACACCAATGCTCATAAAATAAAAATAAATAAATTAAAAATAAATAAATTATATAAAAATAATAGAACGACAGCATAGGTCGGTTAGAATGTTGTGATATTTAATAGTCATTCTTTTCCTGCCAGATGTCATTTGAAGTAGAAGCTGCCTTGCAAGGAAGGGAATCCTTGTCCTACCAGGCTTTTTCTGTGTCATGACTCCTTTCTTTCTCTGTTATGTTCCAGTCAGCTCTAGATACCCTGTGTGAATCATATGCTCCCAAATGCCAAGGCTTCAGAAGGATTTTCTGGACCTTGGTGCACTGAACTGTGGAGATGTGGCTCAGCTTCCAGGACTAATTTCCAGACAAAATGAATAGAGAATTCGGTCTCCATGTATGGTGTGCTTTGCTGCTACCGACAGACAGAACATCTGAAACAATTTACTGACTATTAAAGGAGGATTAAGATGACAGAATTCTTGCTTGTACCAACTGGAAATTATTCTGCTTATATAATATTTTGGCTAAAATGGTATTGTGAAATTTTATAAGAAAAAAAAGAGACTCTAGGTTGGTGAGAAAAGGCCTTAGTGGCCAGGGAAGGGAAAGAAAAGGGAACCTACATCCTTTGAGGTGATGTGTGTGCACACTTTGCTTGATCTCATTATTCTTAGTTTATTTCTAAAGCTTTAAGGAAGGGATACAAAAGGGGTGTATATCAGCTTATAGTTTCACATCACAGTCCATGGTTGAGAGAAGTCATAGTGAGACCTGGAGGCAAGAACCAATGCAGAGACCACAAGGGAGTATTACTTACTGGCATGCTCCCAAGGTTTGCTCATTCTGTAATTTTCTTGCCTGGGATGGCACCACCTACAGTGATCTGGGCTCTTACACATTAATCACCAATCAAGATGCACCATAGGCCAGCCTGGTGGGGGCAATTTTCTCAGTTGAGTTTCTCTCTTCCCAAATGACTCCAGCTTGTGTCAGTTTGCTATAAAACTAGCCAGTACAGTCAGCTTGTAGAACCAGAATTCTTTGATTGAAGAAGAAGCCAATTCTTCTTGAGGAAGCACCCTATAAGAATAATACTGAAATTTGTACTATTACTTTTTCATCCCCCCTTCTTCAAAGGATCTTTTAAAGTGAGTTTTATTTCAGGATAGCTGTATACAAAAGAAAATGAAATAAGCATGCCATTCAGAAATTACTATACACTGTCTCTGAACTGATATTATTCTAGGTGGCCATCAATATCACTATGCCCAGCCAATCAGAGTAGGGGCTTATGGAAACCCAACAAACAGTATTTTCTCAAATTCTATCATGAAGGATCATTGAATTTTGTCAATGACCTTTTCTGCATCTAATGAGATTATCATGTGTATTCTTTAAATCTTAGTCTGTTTATATAATGGATTAGTTTGCTAATTTATGTATGTTGAGTCACCCTGAATCTCTGGGCTGAAGCCAATTTGGTCATGGTCGATAATCTTGCTGGTGTCTTCCTGAATTCTGTATGCAAGTATTTTTACATCTGTGTTTATAAAGAATTTTTACATCTATGTCTATAATTTTATTTCTTTATTTTTCCAGTTCTTTGTGTGTTTTAATATCAAGATAGTAGCAGCTTCATAAAAATAATTAGGAAGTGTTCCATCAGTTTATACTTTTTGGAATAATGTGTTTTTGAGGGTCGGGTAGTATTTTGCACTGAATCAGTCTGGCCTTGATTTTTTTTTCTTTTGCTGGTTTTAGGTTTAGCTGGGAGATTTTGCTACTTCTATTTCATTAGGGGTTATATATCTTTTTAAATAATTTGTTTCATCTTGACTTAACTTTGGTAGATTGTATATATCAAGAAATTCATTCCTTTCTTTGAGGTATTCCAGTTTGAAAGAATATTGATTTTTAAAATATGTCTTTATGATTCTCTGAATTTCCTCAGTTTCTGTTGCATCCACCCTCTTCACCTCCAATTGCTTGTATCTTCTCTCTCTTCTAATTAGTTTGGCTACTGATTTGTGAATCTTGTTGATTTTTCCAAAAATCCAAATCTTCACTTCATTGACTCTTTGTATATCTTTTTCTTTATTTCTAGTCATTGATTTCAGCTCTGGATTTGATTATTTCTCACTTTCTACTTTTTGGGGGTGCTACTTGTTTTTTTCTTTTCTAGAACATTTGTCACTAAGATATTAATACACAATTTTCCGGGGTTTCTTACTTTTTAAAATGTACAAATTAGTGCTATAATTTTACTTCTTAGACCTGACTTCCTTGTGTCCCATAGGTTTAGATATGTTGTATTTTCATTGTCATTCAATTCTAAAAGGGTTTAAATTTTCTTCTTGATTCCTGTCTTGACCCATTTTTCATTCAGTAGTGAGCTGTTTGGGTTCTCTGAGTTTGTAAACTTTCTAGTATCTCTGTTGTTATATACATATATTGTATATGTCTACAAAAATGTATTAACATATTTTCTTTTTCAGGTATAATAGGAATTCATAAAAATGTCAGGTACAATTTTATTAATTTCCTAAGATTTATCTTATTATTTAAATGTGTGTGTGTGTTTGAGTTTGCACGTGTGGGTTCTAATGATCATGGAGGCCATATATGTCTAATCCTGATCCCTATGAAACTGGTGCCACAGGAGGTTGTGGGCAGCCTCATGGGGTGCTGGGATCTGAACCTGGGACCTCTGCAAAAGTAATAACCACTCTTAGTTGCTGAACCCTCACTCCAGCCCCATTATTTGTTATTTTTTAATGTTTTGCCTTCACATGTAAATTACATGATTGCTTTTCTTTGAAGGGATGAGTTTTTATTCTGAAATATTTGACTAGTTAGGATATATATATATATATATATATATATATATATATATTTGTATGTAAGTTCGTTTGTACATATTAACCCTCTGTAAGAAAATGAGTAAAAGCAGCTCATGTTTGCACATAGGCCTGAAAGGTCTCTAAATGTTGAGAAAGATTGGAGAAAATACAGACAGAAAAAGCTGTGGCCTTTGGCCAGGATGTGGTAGAGTGAAATGTTGACTCTGCCTTTTTAGAAAATGGTATAAGAAGAGAAACATCACAGTTATAGTCCTTTGTTTTCTCTGATATAAAATTCAATCATCTGTTTAAGCAATTGAGACCCTTCCTTATAGTGAGTAAGAAACTCAAGTAAGAGTTTCCTTTAATGTCACCAAGATAACAACGTATAACACCATGAACTGGTTTCTGCACTGCCTTTGCCACAACCACCGTGATCAAACGGTGGATTTAGACACACTTCCAAAAGACTATGAAGATTCAGCTTTGTATTTCTAGTGTTTCTCACATAATAGAGAAAGAATCCCAGTTGTGTGGGAGGGATTAACTCTGTAGGTGGGGGTCAGCAGGTGGTCAGCTGAAGCAGGACCATCAAAGCTTAGACTGCAGCCACAAGCACAGTATAATGCTTAGTTAGTCTCCTTTTCAAAACTGTGTTCAATCTAAAGTTCACAAAATTTATTAATAGGCATTTTTCATAAGAAATATGAGTGTATTTTCTGGTGCTTATAAGAGGGAAAAGTGTATTTCGCAATCATGTTATTATTTACTGTGCTCCTCTCTTCCTGAAGGTGTGGTCCCCACAGCCCCTGAGCTGCCTACAGGAGAAATGGAAAATCAGACAATGTCACCAACTGCAGTATCTGATCCCCCACCTGACTACAATTCCCATTTTGTGCCAGGTAAGGTAAACTGCAAGAAAAATCTTCCTCCAGAACACCATACCAAGGCTGTGCTTCGGAGGGCACCGAGGAAGGAAGTTGTAAAAGTGAGGATAACATTCTCTGTATTCCTAGTGGACAGATGAAGAGAACGTTGTGGGAATGTTTGAAGATGCTACTGTCTGGTCCTACCAGGGATTGGAGGGGAGCTATGATTGATTAAAGCAGGCTTTGCTATATAATTTGATAGTTAAAGAGAAATGGAAATATGTATAGCAGAAAAAAATCCCTATTTCTTACACAAGTGTTTGCTAATCTCTGGTAAATGGCGGGAGGTGACAAAGAATTAGAAGGGCATAGCTGTGGGCACTGACTAAGGCACTGTGACATATATATTTTGGGTCTTAAGACCATTGATGGATACTCAGGAGGAGGGGTTCTCACACAGCACTGAAGTAAATTTTAGATAGTGTAGTCATTTTAGGAAGTAACTACACCATTTCCAAGAAGTAAATGTTGTTAAAATTAGGTTCTGTTCACTACGGAAAGCACTTGTTTTTCTCTGTTTCAAAAATAGGTGGGGTTGGGGAATTTAGCTCATTGATAGAATCTTGTCTAGCAGATGAAGGCCCTGTTCAGTCCCAGGAGACAGTCTTTATATTAAACAGGTGAGTTGAAAATGTATCCATTGACAAATATACTGCTAATGAATTGTCACTACAGTGAAGAGTCACTGTGATCACCGCCTAGTGGCTAGACCATATCCTTTAAAACTGGTTGATAGTTTCACACATGTGAATCTGGTGAATTGTGGTCAATCTCATTTGTTTTCATCTGTGTTACTCTTTTCCCCTTTACTCTTTCCCTGGAAGTGCCCTCCTAGTTAGATCCTTCTTCCTCTCCCCAACCCTCTGTGTGTGTGTGTGCGTCTGTGTGTGTGTGTGTGTGTGTGCGTGTGTGCGTGCGTTTGTGTGTGTGTGTGTGTCTGTCTGTCTGTCTCATGAGCAGGTAAGCCACAGGTGCAGTCAGTTTATGAATGCAACAACTGTACTGTCAACTAGATGCCTTTTTGCTTCATGCCTCCTTATCCCTCATCATAATCATGCCTCTGTTTTACCAGTGGGCACATTTTTCCTGGAAAGTCAGTGTTGTTACTCCTAGGGTATATTGCTGGGTAAGACAATTGATGGCCTCCCTGTCTCAGCAGCCTGTATAGCATCTTCTGGCAGTGTGAAAAACACCTATCAAGGAAGATGCTTCCAGTTCAGTTACAGCTAGATTTCTGTATCTATTTCTATATAAAAAGTGTATTGTTTGTATTTGGAGCAATAAGATTGCACCATCAAGTTCAGTTGTGGGACCAAGAGCAGTCAGTGGCCATAAACTATCTTGTTTTGCATGCCTCTGGTACCACATGAACAACAGCTCAGGGGAGTGTCAATTTTTTTGACATGAATTGTGTTCTTATAATTCACAGAAATAATATATTTGCAACATTTGGTTTAATGAAATTACTTAAATTCAAATGTAATTATAATTTCTATTATACGCCTGAATGTTTTCTCCAACCAAAAATAATGTTGTCCAGTATTGTTTATTGAAAGAATAGCTAAGAAATAAACCATTGTTATATGGCACCCATTTCAAAAGAAAAATGACATGATTTCTTGAAATGAAAAACAATGGCAATATTAAGGGTTATTAGGAATGAAATTCTCATAGGCAGTTTCTCACACTGCAATTGATAGGCGGCTTCATACTAGAGTTCTCTGTAGATGAATGTGAGGTCTTGTGGTTACACAAAGTTAAACATGGATTGCTTTGTTTCAGTTTGTTTTCCTGCAGAAAAAGTCAAAACCCCTAAGGGCAGTTTCCAACTGGGATGGAAGCATAGTATGCTAGTTTCTTACACATAATTTTACCGTTTTTTTTCCTTCTTCACTTTTAACATGTCCTTATAACAAAACTCACTCATGTATATAAATTGGTATACAGTTATAGTAATTTAAACACCATATTGAATAAGTCCTTAACATAAATTCTACTTTTCTTCTGGCTATTGATCACAAAATTTTACTACTTCAGGTGCTTTTATATTAAAAGTACAAGATATGGCTGTTAACTCATTTACATAATATAATGATCAGTATTCTTTAAATGAGAGTTTTGAGAATCTGAGGAAGGATCACTGACTTCTAATTCAGGTGGGTGCTCTTACACTCGTTCTTTTGGGAATTAAAGTTCATTCTTCATGATAAAATCAAATTCAAAGTGTCTCTCCTCTAGCTACTCACTTTTACTCTCATTTAGTTCTGATTTAAAATCATTTTTAATACCACTCTCAATCATCTAATTATACTATCAGTCTACCAAGAGCTTATCTTTATTCTTAATACTTAGTTTTCCAAGAGTTTTTTGGCATTCTCTTTGGTCCCTCCTGGCCCCCCTTCTCTTCAAACCTTATTTCTTTCAACTGTCTCTCATAAAGTGATCTTGACAATCCCACTAGTCTTGTATTCTTTTTCTTGTTGTTTTGTTTTATTATGAGACAGGGTTTCTCTATGTAACATCCCTAGCTATCCTGGAACTCTCTCTGTAGACCATACTGGCCTGGAACTCACAAAAATCTGCCTCCCTCTGCTTCCCTCCAGCTTAGTTTTTGGTTCTTTAAAGTACTTGTAAATCCCGTCCGGAGCCATGTCATCACTTACACTTTAGAATCAAAACTGTTACTTCCTGTAGATCATGTTATCTGCATAACTACAGGTTCTCAAACATAATCATCAAACCAACTTTGACACCTTACTTCGTAATTTGTACTTTTTCCACATGTTGGCAGCATGTAGGAGCACAAAACTGAAACTTTGGGACCTTTCCTTAATAAGCAGTCCACTACCAAGTCAGCACACTTTTTAAATATCAGTTTTAATGATTTCTTAGTTTTATTCTCTCTTTGTCGCAATTCAACTTCCTTTCTTTACATCTGTACTCTGGCAAGTGCCTCCTGCTTTATGTAATTTTGTAGTAAGGATTACAAATGGAAGCATCCATTCTCCATTCTGCTGGCACAAGCTTCAGGCTCTAAATGAAAAAGCATAAGGTTTGCCCACATTCTTACCTACCTTATTACTAGCCTAGTCTGCCAACACTCCACACTCAGTCCTTACTTCTTCAGAGCTAAGCACCCTTTGTACAGTTCTTCTGGTCTATGTTCTCATAAAAACTTTTGTCCCCAGGGAGGGTCACATTGAATGAGTCAGAACATACCTCATAGTCCATCTGGTCTGCATAGGTTAACAGCCACTCTTCTCATACCTTAACACACTGTACATTTTTCTGTGATTTCAGCATTTACTTGTTTTATAATAACCATTGCTTTCCCTTTTTTATAGTTTTATTGACTTTTATTACTTCTTTTTAGAAAAAAGCTTGCTTCACATGTCAATCCCAGCTCCCTCTCCCTCCCCTCTTCCCTCACCCCCCCACCAGCCCATCCAGCCTCCAAACCCTCCACTCCCTTCCCCATAGGGGATATCCAGAGTCTGTCATTTCATTTAGGGCATGGCCTAGGCTCTTCACCAAGAGTCCAGGTTGAGAGAGCATCCTTCTTTGTGGTACACACGAAGTCCATTTGTATGCCAGGGATAAATACTGATCTACTGTCCAGGGCCCCATAGATTGTCCAGGCCTCTTCACTGATACCCACATTCAGGGGTTCTGGATCAGTCCCATGCTGGCCTCCCAGCTGTTGGTCTGGGGTGCAAGAGCTCCCCCTTATTCAGGTCAGCTGTTTCTGTTGGTTTCACCAGCCCATTCTTTACCACTATGCTCATCACTCCTCCCTCTCTGTCACTTAGCTCCAGGGGTTCATTTCAGTGTTTAGTTGTGGGTGTCTGCCTCTGCTTCCATCGGTCACTTGATGAAGGTTCTAGGATGGCACATTGGTACCCTAGAGATGGGGAATGAGGCAAAATCTCCTGAACAAATTTGGAGCAGAGTGGGAGGCGAGTGAGAGATGGGAAAAAGACAGAGGGAGAAGAGGCGAAAGGAGGTCATGGGGGAGCAAGAAGGTTAAATTGGGGGAGAACAGGATGAGAAATACCATAATAGAGGGAGTCATTATAGGTTTAAGGAGAGATCTGGCACCAGTGAAACCCCTAGAAATCTACAAGGATGACACCAACAGGCAAACTAAGCAATAGTGGAGAGACTGCCTTAAATGCCCATCTGTGATAATGAGTTTGATGATGACCTTACATGTCATTGCTTTTCTTACAAGCATGAATATGCCCTAGAATTCCAAAGATGGAAATGTGTGTGTAGGTCTATCTGTTTCTAGCCTCAGTCATAGCTGATGATCTTTGAAGCTGATATGATGAATGTTTCCTAAATAATTCTTACTTCATAGCTGTGTTTTTGAGATAATATTAGGGAATTGATTTTGCAATTTATGACCTTATTAGTAAGCTTTTTATTGTAGATTGGGATGTCACAGATTCCTTTGGCTTCAAAAGCTATTCTTCTTTAGTGTCTACGCCACAAGGCTTTAAGCCTCTACAGAACTGGTTATGCAAAAAACTCTATCTTTTCTCTATTTTTTTGTTTAAAGAAATTTCTCCAGGCTCTGGGATTGTGTCTTTCTTGTACTGACTGATTTTCCTTAGCAGTGGTTAATCCTGCTAAGTAAATGTGTGTGTGTGTGTGTGTGTGTGTGTGTGTGTGTGTGTAACTTAAGGACTCAAATAGCTGTTATCACTAGAGTTGCTAGACCCAAGGCCCTCAACAGGATGCCCTAGTGAGTGTTCCCATTTTTACTTATGATTCCATAGTTGCTTATTATGCAGTAGGGATATAGATGTAATACACCTAAGAGTACAGTAAATGTTAGATAATGAAGAAATACAGATGCAGAAAAAGGATGCAGTCCAGCATCCCTTCTTGATAAAATCCCTGAGGAAACTACAAAATAGAAGAAACACCTCAATACAATCATAGATATATAGATTCCTTCTAAAATGCCCATTATACTAAACAGGAAAAAATGAGAGTATTTTGTCTTGTGAAGCAAAGATGCTCACTCTCTCCATCTTACTCAGTATAGTGCTTGAACTCTCAGCTAGAGCAGTAAAATGACAGAAAGAAATACAAGGACTACAAAAATGAATGGGCTAAATCTACGTACTCTTATTTGCAGATGACATGATTCTATATTTAAAAGACCCTAAGAACTTAATCAGGAAGCACTTAGCCCTAATAAACATTTTCAGCAAAGTAGTGTGATGTAAAAACAGCATTAAAAAAAAGGTTGCCTTATATAGACCAATTACAGCTTTCCAGGAAAATGCCATTCACAGTGACTTTAATATAATAAAACAAGTAAGAATAAAACCCTTGACCATGAAAGTTACAACCAGTGAAAACACTAAGGAAATAAGTGGAAGAAGACACAAAACCTCTAATGACCATGAATTGTCAGCTGAAGTTATAAATATGGCTATATTATTGAAAATGATTTTCATATTGAACACAATCCCCAGCAAAACCTCAATGTATTCTTCATAAAACTAAAACATATAATCCTAAAATGCCATAGTAGCAAAACTTTCAGAATAGGCTAAAGTTTCCAAGGCAGAAAAATAATGATGGAGATTTCAAATGCATAGTCTTAAATTGTATTAAAGACCTGTAGTCACAAATGAAATTTAACACCATATTTTACTGTCTAAAAGTTGCTGAGATTAAACACTGACCAAAACTAACATGGCCAGGTAAAGGGTTTATTTCAGTTTACAGGTCACAGTCCACTATTCCATTATAGATGGGAAGCCAGGGCAAGAGTTCAAAGCAGGAATTGAAGCAGAGACATTAAGGGAATACTACTTCTTTCCTCTGTCTTGCAAAGCTACCTTCCATGTACAAATCCCAGTAGGACCCAGGTTTACCATCCCAAGGATGGCACTGTTCACAGAGGCCTGGGCCATTCCACATCACAACCTCAATAACCAACCATGAAAATAGACCATAGATGCCCACAGACTAGTCTGATAAAAGCAATTCTTCAGTATAAGTTTCCTCTTTCCAAGTGTATCAAGTAGACAACCAATGATTAGTCATCACATAAACCAGTAGAAGAGAATTTTGAAATAAATCCAAAGATATAGCCTCCAAAATTGCAAAGTTGTCACAATCATACATTGGGTTTGTTTTGGGGGCGGGGACAACCTCTTTCAGCAAATGATGCTAGGGAAACAAATGAAATTAGGTCTGTATCTCTCACCCTGAATACACACATACACAAAAGTGGATCAAAGATGTCTGTGAAACTGCTGAAGAAAAACGCTTAACATAAAAGGCACAGGCAACATGTTCCTGAGAAGGACTTCACTATCACAGGAAATGCTCCCAAGAATTGACAGGTGGGATCACATGAAATTGAAAAGGTTCTGCACAACAAAGGCCACAAACAACAGAATATGCCAGCCTACAGAGTGTAGAAAATATTGCCAGCTACACAACCAGCAGAGAATTAGTATCTAGAGTAATAAAAAAAAGAACAAAAGCCTAGTCAATACATGGGCTAATGACATGAGTGGACAGTTCAGAAGAGGAAATACAAATACAAACATTCCAAGACACTTTTAACATTTCATTATGTGGGGGCAGTGGGTATAAGCATACAAGGGTCAGAGTGAGTGTGGAGGTCAAAGACCAACTTTGGAAGTTGAAGTTGTTTCTCTTTTCACTGGGTTCTGTGGATTGAACTCAAGTCAGACTTGTACAAATTGTTTGATGCACTTAGGCATCTGAGTAGTCCCTAAAATATTTGAAAAGGTGTTCAACATCCTTAGGTTCAATGATATGCAAAGTAGACTTCATTGGTATTCTGTGTTACTCCAGTCAAAATGGCCATTACATTTTTAGAGAGAGAGAAAGAGAGGGAGAGAGGGAGGGAAAGAGGAAGAGAGAGAGAGAGAGAGAGAGAGAGAGAGAGAGAGAGAGAGAGAGAGAGAGAGAGAGAGAGAGAGAGAGAGAGAGAGGAGGAGGAGGAGGAGGAAGGAAGAAAGGAAGGAAGGAAGGAAGGAAGAAAGAAAGGAAGGAAGAAAGAAAGAAAGAAAGGAAGAAAGGAAGAAAGAAAGAAAGACAACAGCAAATGTTGGAGAGGATTCAGAGAAATCTTCATATACTGCTGGTGGTCTGAACATGTAAATTCATGCAGCCATGTTAGAAATCACTATGGAGCTCTCAGAAAGATGAACAAAACTGCCATATTATTCCTGGTTGTGTACCTGAAGAACTCTAAGTCACAGTGCCACAGAGACACTTGCCTATATGTCCATCAACAATGGAACTAGCCTAAATACACATCAACAGATGAATGGGGAGGAGGACGGATGTAGTTTGATAGAATACATATGGGATGCAAAAACAGAAAAGCAAATGATTTGGAGAGGAGGGATGCTGTCACGGAAGAAGAAGGGATGAGGGAGTGATGGGGGAAGTCTTTTTGTATATATGTTTCCCTTATTGGTTGCTGAATAAAACATTGCTTGATCAGTGGCCAGACAGGAAGGATAGGCAGGACTACCAGACCAGGAGAAGACTGGGGGAGGAAGACAGTACTAAGAAGCCTAGATATCAGCCAACAGTTTATAAATTAATAAAAGTCTTAGTGTGTTTATTTGGGGCTAATTGGCTTCAGAATCAGGCTGGAAAGAAACTTCATCTACAGGGAAGCCTAGAGAAGGAAAAAGATGACTAAGAACAAAATAGAATGGCTTGTGTGTGAAAATGCTCTATGAAAAGAGTACCAAAGTAGTCAGAATGTTTGAATTCTCCTTTAGCCACATACTAGCTGTGTCCTTCAGTATATTATTCAATCTCCGGCCCAAAAAGAGAGACCAGTGCAAATATATTTAATCCCAGCACTCAGGAGGGAAACAGAGGCAGGTAGACCTCTGTAAGTGTAAAAACCACCCCATCTACAGAGTTTCAGGCCATCTGGGATTACAAAGTGAGACTGTGTCTTTAAAAAAATGTTCATATCAAATGTATACATGGATGTGATGATAGCAGTGTTATTATAATTACCAACAGGAATACAATCCAAGTATCCTTGAATTAAAGAACACATACCACGTGGTATATTCCATATTGTAGCATATTGCCAAGTCATATAAAAGAATAAAGTACTGAAAACACTATAACATGGATAGAAGATGAAAACATGCAGATCGAGAGAAACCTGGCACACAGGTTGTATACTGTACACTTTCATTTATGTAACATGCCAACCCTAGATAAATCACAGTAAATGGTTTCAAGAGTGTTTATGCTCAGTAAAGGAGAAGCTTCATACAGTGAGAGGCTACCTTGCTTCTCAGTGTGCCAAAGGTATAATTATTTCACAAGTTTTAAGATGATCAGATGAACTAGTATGTGAATGATCCCCTTAGTACACTTGTTAATATATGGGTATACACTAAGAGACGGAAGGACATGGTTTCTTTAAGAACATTTTGCACGGGTATTTTCTATTGTAAAAATCATATAACTTCTAAATACACTAAAGTTATAATACTTTCATCTGTTTGATAACACAGGCCCTGGTGGACTAGCTGTCCCTCCACCTGCAGGCTTGCCTATGGGACACAACGTTCTGCAGTATCCCGGTGCCATCCCCTTGTACCATCCCACTGGTGGCGCCCATCCTATCCAGTACCAGCCTGGCAAATATCCTATGACGAATCAGCCTGCTCCGGTAATGTGGATGCCAGGGCCGGCTCCTATGCCCAGCTGCCCTCCGGGTCTGGAATACTTAGCTCAGGTATCCTAATATATCTAAAGCACTTTTCCTGTGAAGTGTGACCATGGGGTACAAACAGGAAACAAGATGCTGGCAAGAGTGAATAGGGAGATGGGTCACTGGTGGCAGAGGCAGGCTTGCTGAGAGCCGTGATGGTGGATTTACAGGTAAACAGTGATAACAAGGATGCATTCATAAGATACATAAGTTTGTTTGGAAGCAATAGAGTTGACTTTCAAATGATTCAATATGGCTTTCTCAAGGAAATTAGAGAATTAAGAATGAGAGTCACAAGTAAAATGTTCATGTCAAGGAAAACAGAATAAGGAAGGAGAGAGCACCAAACAAGGAGGAACGGGGGCGGGGGGGGGGGGGCTGGCACAAAATGTTCCACTCATGGCTTCTTTTCAACATCTCAGATCCTTCAGCACTCCTGAACCCCTTAACACATAAGTCTAAGTATAAGATGTTACTTCAAGCCAAAATCCATGTCTTCATTATACAGCACAGTGACTTCCCAATTTCTTGTACATATAAATCACAGAGCCAAAATAAAACCTAGTGTGATATACAGTTTTTGTATGAATGTTATCTAAAACCTGCAAAAAAACTTGTTGTTCAAAATAAGATTAAACTAATTGTGGAAATGCCTTCAAACTTATAAATCTTGTTTCATTTTTTTGAAAATGGAAGCATTTAAATACACTGTTTCATAAGGCATCCCAATTTTATGTGTTCTAATTTAGTTAAACCAAACAGTCTTGGAGTTGACATGCATCAGTTTTTTAGTTGTCTGTGTAGGAGGGACCTGTGTTGAAAATCATAGATAGACTGTTGCATTGCTGATATATGAAAGTCAACAGAGTTAGATAAAAACATTTGAATTTTACATGGATGAAATTTCTTGCTAAAATTTCTTGAGCAAACTTTTGATGAAATATAAAATCATTTCATAGAAAGCAGTAGATGCATTTATTATTCTAAAAGGCTTTCAGAGTCACACTAGAAATCTCCATTCCTATACCCAGTGAAATGGCCTTTTGAAGTATGAAATATATTTGAAAAGGGCATCTCAATTTCTGCTTTTACTTTGAGAGCAAATTTGTGTATTAAAAAAGATTTATTTATTATGTATACATTGTTCTGCTTGCATGCATGCTTGGACACCAGAAGAGGGTACCAGATCTCATAGAGGAGGTGATGCTGGGAATTGAACTGAGGACCTCCGGAGAGCAGCCTGTGCTCTCCAGTCCATGTGTATCTTTTTATGAATTCTATTTTCACTTTTAGGAATTATTTGAGTTTAAAATGAATGAAAAAGTAAAATTTGGAGCCAAACAAGCCTGGTCTTTCTCCCTTCACTAACTCTAGCCTTGCAGTCTTCACTATCCATGAAACGGCTGAATCAAGGGCACACTATCACGTTGTGGGAAGTTTTGGTGGATAAACTTGAAATGACCATCATGTTGTTGGCACACAGAGGCATGTCCTACAGATGCTAGCTGTGGACATTCTTAGTTACTCCCTCTGGTGTCATTTCCCTGCCAGGTGGTCTGAGGTAACAAGTACAGACCATGTGATACTTCGTTAAGACGTCCAAGGACCCTTGTCCATTCACTGAAGCTTTGGAATATTTCCAAAGCCTTGTATTTGCCTGTGACGCCACGTGTTTGTCTAGTCCCTCCTGGCACAGCACCTAGGAAACTCCCGCATCAGCAGTAATCAGAACATTTTGCCCTTCAATAGACACTTTTACCACATAGTAAATATTTTTCATTTTATTTATGTATTTTAATTTCTTAGTATTTTACAAAAGGAGATGCAAACAATTGTAGAAGCCATTTTGATATCTTATATGAAACGATCCCTTATTAATTTATAAGTTTTACATTAAACATGGATAGTCTCCTCCTGTATCCTTTTGTAACTAATCACACAATATCATCCATAGTCAGTTGTTTTTTATCTTGTTACCGCACTCACATATCTTTCATTAGTTAATGAATTTTGGTGCATTGCAACATTTTAAACAGCTTTCTATGATCAGCGATTATGAATGGTCTAATGACATAAATGATTTGTAATTACGTTGATTAAGATCTGTCTGTCCTAGAGGAGATGGTGTATATTCTGCTGGAATGTTCTAAATTGGAGCAGATAAAAAATCCATTAAACTGTTCAAAGTAATTCCAATACTGTTCAATTAGAAGTTTCTCTACTGGTGTTCCTCACTTTTCTTTTCATGAACTGCTGTCTTAGAATGTTTCCTCCCTTTTCTCCAGACCCTACTCACCTTGTGTTACCCTCATGCATCCCTACTAAAGTATGCACTTGGGCGAGAACCTGGTATTAGTGAATGAAGGTGAATGCAAATCCATATGTTTAACCTCTTGAGAGGTTCTCTGGAAATAATGTGAAGCAGAGGTTCTATTCAGGCTTGCTTTGGTTTGTTCACCTTCCCAAAACCACAAGAGCATCACATGTTGTATCTAGTCTATGTTAAGTCATCCTGACTTGCTCCCACATGAGCATCTCAGAGAAGTTGACAGGGAAATAACTTAAGATCCTTTACATGTACCTGGGTTCCTGGACACATTATAACTGTAGCAAGCAGATGTTTTCCTGATGTCATTCAGCTCTCTAATTTTTTTCAAGAGAAAATTTCATTTATCTGTAATTAGAAATAAATATTTCACAACATACAATTAGATATTGTTTTGTGATTAATCACTATGCTTTGTGTTCAATTTGAAACAATGAAAATACATCCTGCATATCAGACATTTAGATTATGATTCATAATGATAGCAAAATTACACTTACAAAGCTTGCTCTCTGATTTTAATGTGGAACTACCTGGCCTCTGCGAATATCTGTATAATTGGATGCAGATGAGATAATCTCAAGTGATTAAATTTTTAGATTCCATTCCATTTTCAAAGAGGTATTTGGCATCAGTTGATACATTTTAGTCATTTTTATTTTACTTCATGCACATGGGAATTTTGCCTGCATATGTATCTGTGTGCCACTTCTGTCCTGGTAGCCATCAAGGCCAGGAGTGAATGTCTGATTCTCTAGAACCAGAGTTACATGTTCACAACCATGTGGATTCTGGCAACCAAACACACATCCTCTGGAAATATAACTGGTGTTCTTAAGGCAGAGTCAACTCTCCAGCCCCTCATTGATACGTTTTAATTTTGTGTCAATCAAATTCTTTTGTCTTGCTAATATTAAAATTACTTCTGGCTATCTGTCTTCTAATTGCTTTTGTTCTGTCCCTACAGTTGGACAACATACATGTTCTTCAGCATTTTGAGCCTCTGGAATGTACGTATAATTATGTATTGACTAGCACTGTGGGTTTTTGTTGTTGTTGTTGTTGTTTTATTTTTTTGTTTTGTTTTGTTTTGTTTTGGTTTGGTTTTTTGAGACAGGGTTTCTCTGTATTGTTTTGGAGGCTGTCCTGGAACTCGCTCTGTAGACCACTATGGCTTCGAACTCACAGAGATCTGCCTGCCTCTGCCTCCCGAGTGCTGGGATTAAAGGCGTGTACCACCAATGCCCGGCTTTGGCACTGTGTTTTAATTAGCAGTATTTTAATCAGATGGAAATTTGTATTATTTTATACCTAGTGCCTGATTTTATGTCGATGAGCTTTTAGTAATTCAAAGACAGAAGACTATCCTCTATTACCTTATCTTCACAAAAGCAATAAAAATGAATTTTCTATGTAGTTTACTCCCTATACTGATGGTTTTAGACTCAGAAAGGACTGACATCTAATCTGCTTAGTCCCTGGTATCATTTGTCCAGTTTTCTTCCTCCACATTCTTCTTATCCAGATGAGCACAAGAATAAGTGAGAGGTGAATTGAGCTAGCTAGAGCCTCCAGTCCCACTGCAGTCAGTGGCAAAGAGAAAACAGAATCTAAGACTGCTGAATTCTAGTCTGTGGCTGTTCTATGGAAGTCTGGATGAATGATCTCATTCAGGTGACTCTACTGATCTCAATTCCCTGCAGATTACTCACTCTCTCTTGGGGTAGGAGCTGGGCATACCCCTCTGGGCACCATACAGGCCTTTGGTTGTTCTGGATTTATTTTTTCATCCCCAAGAACCATATCCCTAGTCATTTCATCAGTTTCATGTGCTGATTAATTCATGTTCTGATGTGTGATGAAATTTTTCTGGATTCTTTTATTCATGTGGAAAACTTTTAAAAATAATTTCATATTAAACTTGGCAATTGTTTTAAACTTTTAAAATACTCAACCCTCATGGATCACATGGTTGTATTTCACCTGAAAATTTTTTAAAAATCTGTTTGCTTTCAGTTCTAACCATAGTTGTTGTTGTTGTTGTTGTTGCTGTTCTTCTTCTTCTTCTTCTTCCCTCCCTTCCCCCTCCTTCCTTTTTTTTTTAAAGCCAAGGCTTCTTGAGGCCTATTTTGACTTGTTCTAATCTAAGATTCTTTTGTCATTCTAACTTTTAGTTATGACAGGTTATGAAACTAATAATAGATATGATATCAAAAACAACATAGACCAGATGGTGTACATTGTAAATGAAGACACAGATGACTATACCAGGAATGCCTATCGGAGCCTACGACCCTTCGTGCTCCGGGTCACTGACTGCCTGGGCCGAGAGATCATGACCATGCAGAGGCCTTTCCGATGTACCTGCTGTTGCTTCTGTTGCTCCTGTGCAAGGCAAGAGGTCAGAGAACAGGAGTGGAATAGACACTTGCTTCCTGATCTGCCCTTTACAGTGTGGTTGGTCTTCTCCTTTATATACTGCATGGGATGGAGATTTCTGGCCCTACAATTCAGAACAAAACTAAAACTGGGTAGTGGGGAGGGAGAAAGCTGTCAAAGAACAGAATTTCAGTTTTTCTTTATCTCTTCAACTGAGAGGTGGGAGTCAAGTACAACTTGAGTCTGTTCTGTGAATAGCTATTTTCAGATGGATTAGGTTACTTACAGTGATGGACTATAGTCAGATGGTATGTAATGGTACCAACATATTCACCATATGATAATTTGGGAAGTGCTTTTGATTGTGGTACCCATAACAGCCTACACCTTTATGCCAAAAAACTATATAGTCTTAGAAGTAGATAGAATGCCAGACTGAAGTGCCCTGGCCATAGCAGAGCTAGACCTACAGTGAAAATGCTCTGTATTGTGGTTTGCTATCTCCCCTGTGATGTATGCAAGCTCGGAAAAAAATTACTTAAAAGAAAACTGCACGTGTCACAAGCTCTGTGAGTTCATGTGCATTAGTCCTGTTGTCCTGGAGGATGCTGTTTCCTTAGAGTCATCACCTCTGGCTCTTAGAATTTTTCACATTCTCTTCAGAATAGGTCCTAAGGCTTGAGGTCCGGGGGTTGATGAAGACATTCCATTTAGGACTGAGTGCTCCAAAGTCTCTTACTCTGCATATTTTTCAGTTGTGTGTGTATATGTTGATTCTCATCTCTTGCAAGAAGCTTCTCTGATGAGGGTCAAGTCATGCTCTGATCTATGGCTATAGTAATCAAGCAATTCAGCAGTAATTAAGTCTGTTCTTTATCCCACAGTAAAACATGAACTCATTTCTTTAGAGTGCTTTTGGAAACACAACCCTGAAAATGGCCCCAGGGAAACATGAATCTGTACCTAACATAAAGCCCCCTTTCCCTAGAATGACCAAGATTATGTCCAGGTGTGTGCACATGAATGACATAGTTGTGCATTGTGTACATACAACATCATAGCTTCTGTTACTTTTCATATGCAGCTGGAAGTGCAATGTCCTCCCGGTGTCACCATTGGATTTGTTGCAGAACACTGGAACTTATGCAGAGCCTCTTACAGCATCCAAAATCAGAAGAAAGAGAGTGTGATGAGAGTGCGTGGTCCATGCGCAACCTACGGCTGTGGTTCAGATTCTGTTTTTGAGGTAAATATGTATAAAAAGAAACGTTGCTTCTGCATTTTCCGTTATGACCTCAAAACACCCTTGTCTTAACCAGTTTTTCACGTGAAAGATTCAAGCGGCATGAAGAAAGGTTAATTACAAGTTTTCACGTGGTTCCTCATGGTTACTTGATATTTTCCACAATGTGAGTGGCACTGCCTTTTTAAAACTTTTTTTCCCATTCAGAACCTTAAACTTTTGGGAGTAAACAGCCTGATTGGATCAATAATTGTTCTTGATATATATAATTTTCTCGAAAAAGAGTGGTCTAATAAAGCAAAGAAATACCAGCTTACAGGCCACAGCCCAAGAGAACCTAGGTAACAAAGAAGACCCTGAGAAGAGACACAAATAAATCTACCTGGGGGGGGATGGGAGACAAGATTCCTGAGTAAACTGGGAGTGGGGGGACAGGGGTAGGGTGGAAGGGCAGAAGGGAGGAGGGAAGGGGAATGGAGAAAATGCATAGCTCAATTTAAACATTTTTCTTTTTTTTTTTAATAGTTCCCAGGGACTGCCCAAGAAATTGTTAGATTAAAGCCTTGAAGTTTGGGAGTCTTTCTCAAAGCCTTTTAACAGGATGAGGCTTGGCATATACTAAACTTATTCCTTCTCCTGCTTCCCATGCTGCAAAGCTTTCTAGCTTTTATTTTCTATCACCATGTAATGTAATGAAACATTGCTCACTTATTGAGAGTCTTGTAGAAAATGTTAGCAAACCAGATTACCACTGCAGATTGTGTGTGATCATTCCATTACTGAGGGACAATGGAAGCTTTGCATGAGGTGTTTTTACTGTCAAATGCCGGGTTTCCCTCTTTTAGAAGCTGAAGCCCATTTTTATACATAGATATACTCAGACAGGATGGGTTTGGTCCACAGAGGCTTGAGTGGTGTTCACTGTATAGTATGGATCCCATAGTTTTGTTTAGAGGTCCCCTTGGTTGGAAGTGACTTCCCATTCCCAAATTTTCACCCTCTGCTACATTGTCGGGGCCCGAATATGACATTTCTGTATTAGGCCTCAGCTTAATTCCAGGAGCTCGAATCTCCTATTGTCTTTTAGATGCCAATGTCAGCTGGTTCCCTGCAGATGGCCTGGCCACATGGAGAATGAAGTTTGTGTAACAATAGACCTAGGCCCCTCACCCATCAAGGGGGCTAGTGGGATGTGCCTGGGAGCCAGTGAGACATACCTGAAGACTTTGAGGGTTTGTGTATGTGCATTCTAGAATCATCTCTAGGGTTAAAGGAAGTGTTTCCTCATCAGACATGATAATAGATATCTTCTAGCAGTACATCTGCATTTAGAAAGTTATTTAAGAGGTAGCTTGAATAATTGTCTCCAGTATGGACTGAGAGCCCTCCTGAAACAACAAGATGTCTCTGTCTTGTTCTTAAAGCTGCTGTGTTGTGTTGGGTAGCTAGGACTTCCCTGATCCACACTCCCCCACTCAGGGTCAGACCCAGGGCTGTTTGGCTGGTTCCAAACACAACCCCAAAGACATCAGTCCAGGATAGATGACCTCTGTGGCGTAGGACTGATACAGGCTGGACCCCGGCACTACATAAACTAATTTAATCATCAGTACAAGCCTTCTGACAAAGTCCTCAGAAGGTATCTTTAAGGATGAGGAAAAGTCACTAGACTGAGGGTTTTAAGACACATCCCAGCTCAGTTATGAAAAGTTTCAGAACACTCAATCCTAGGAGTCCTCATTCAAAATCATGGTGTTAGTGTTTATTCCTGCATTATATATTATAATATCACAAACTGCTTCTAAGAAAAGGACATAGACATGTCCCTTGATGCTTTTCAGCCATCCTAAAGTCCCACTCTTGGCATTGCAGGTCAACTCTCTAGATGGCGCATCTAACATTGGCAGTATTATCAGGAAGTGGAATGGCTTTCTAGCAACAATGGGAGATGCTGATCACTTTGAGATTCGCTTCCCTTTGGACCTGGATGTGACGATGAAAGCAATGATCTTCGGCACTTGCTTCCTCATTGTAAGCCTTCCACTGTGGGCTCATTTCTTCTGATGAAAAGCAGTATTCTACAGAAGAGATTCATTTTGAAACTCAGTCAGCTTCCGTCTGTGCCACCTCTAGGCACAGGTTTGGTGCTGGGTACCTAGGTTTACTCATTTGGAGCAGGAAAAAAAATACTGGCATTGCAGAGTAGAGTGATGGATCTTAACTGAGAAAAGGTTGCTGGGCACACCTGGAAGGTGTTATACAGACAGTGTATGCAGAAATCATCATTTCCTTTTGTTATTTTTCTCACTGCTTCAAAGCAGCTGTCCTGTGATAATTAGTATAATAACTAGTATATATATATATATAGCATGATAATTAGTATAAAATAACTACAGAGAGCTGCCTCTTTCCTCTTGCATGTTAACTGCAATCATGCTCATCACTGTTGCATCATCCTTAGTTTCACTGAGATTTTTCCTCCAGTTAACGATAAAAAGTTTAATCGGTCATGAATATGAAAAGCATATTATCCACCTGCATTCTCACACATTAGCTGTGCTCACTAATATTTTAGATTTATTTACTTTTACTAGAATAGGATGCTCACATGATAAATTACAAAGGCAATATAATATATGAATTAATGTAATTATTTCTATCTATCTGTCATCCGTTTCTCAATCTAAATATAATCTTCTTTCCAATTTCAGGACTTCATGTACTTTGAAAGGACTCCTTCACGGCATTCATCAGGATAGAGGGATCAAGCAAAGAGTCAGTTGAAAACAAAATTAGGGAAATATGCATTGGTCTCACAGTCAGCCTTCGGTTATTTGCAAGTATTTTTCTCTGGCTTGAACACTGCTTTTACTGGTATAAATTCAAGGATGCAGTCAGGACACACGTCCCAGTCAAGTATTTGGCTTCTTGGGACACTAGCTTGTTCTGAAAAATCTGCTCTATTAGCCAAGTAAACATATACAATGCAAGCAATCAACAATAGTCACGTGAGCTATGGGAAAACGAAGCCCCTAGTCCTCACCTTAACAGGTAGTAACACATCTTCTGTGTCTGTCCCTCTCTTCTTTGTCAAGAGTGTAAACTTGATTCCAGGTTGGACTGCTACTCTTAACCTTCATCTTTAGATCCTAAAAAGGCACACACAGAAATAACGTGCTTTAACAAGCAAAGCAAATACTTTTTGTGGTCATGTATCAGAGGCTTATTCTGCAACAGTCATAAAAGTGCATAAAGTTCTCAGTGGGGACTCGGATTTTATTACAAAATAATGTGTATTCTCCTTGTAGTTCAGTTTGTACTTCCCACAAGTATTTCCTCATCTCTTCAGCTGGGCGATTTGGAGCCAGCTATTTATGAAGGCAGGATGAGGCTACTACAGAGAGTTGACCAGAGCCACAGACAAATAAGATCTTCACATATTAGGGCTTTGGTGCTGGAGTACTAACCTTGTACATTCACTTACTTGGCACATTAAGCGTTCATACACACTTCATATCTGAATTTTTATTCTGAAGTCTAGGATTACGTATTGTATCCTTGTAACTCACTTGGCATTTTTTCAAAATCAGCCTAATGATCAGGATGTCCTAATGACAAAAAAAGTTTATAAAAACTGAATGCATAAATCTTATCATTACTTACCATTGCTTGCCTGCTTTCTATGTTAAACAGCTCTTTACACACAAACAACAGGAAAACGCAGTAAATATGTTGCCTTCAACTTCTCTCCAGATTGTCAGTGAAGACTATGGAGACTCAATCGAGTACTTGTACGTACCAAGGATGGTGTGTGTATGAATACACCAATTAGTGAGTCTCTCACCTTGGCTTCCTATCTGCACGTTGACTGTGTTCTTTCATGGATATATTCTTTTAGAGCTTATTTAATGAAGATTAAGTGTTCTTAGGTTGGGTTACCCTGAGAGAAGAGGCTTAGCTCACTGCCCTTTTTGAAACAAACAACAGGTGCTTCACTTTTAATTATACTAATCTTTTCATGATAAAGATTGTTTTATTGCATGTTTTGTAAAAATTCTTTACTTGCCGCCGTTCATTTTTATAAAAACTAAGATATATGAATTGTTTTTAAAAACTAAATTCCTTATTTTTAAAATGCAACTCCAATAGTAACTAGACATACCCACTTTCTGTATTACTATCTTATATTTTGCATATAAACCAGATAAACAGAGCTCCTGTATAAGCTTGTCATTTTACCCACCCTGGCCTTATGTTGATAGTCAGGTACTTTACATCTCTGTTTCATATTTTAGTGTTTGTGATACTAATACTTCTCCAACTGAAAAATTCCTTAGGCATAATAAAGTGTCATATTTTAATGTAATTCGTTCAATTTTATTGTATGAAATTGACCAAAAACTAAAAAAAAAAGAACTTTTTTTAAAGTTGAGTATTTTCTTGTACCCTGAGGCTTCTTAAACCTTTAAATAAATATGTAATAGAACTAGTGGTGAGATGGTATTTGATTTCCTGAGTTGTGACTGAATCTGAATGCTTTCTAGAGAGATTTTTAAAGTAATTTCTTATAACTTACTAAGCTCTTTTCATTCTTGTATGGATTTACTAATTAATTCCTGAGGCACTGAACAGTAATAACTAACATTCCTTTTTAATATTTTTGTCAATTATTTGGTAATTTAATAAATTATTTTGTCATATCCACCTCTCCCACTTTCTTCTCCTCCATCCACTCCCACATCCTTATACCAAATTCAGATCCTCTTTTTGAGATTTCGCATAGTACTGTATTATATCTTTTCCATCCCATTTTCTTTCCCCACTAAATTCCTTGTTCCTCCCTCTCCTTTTCAAATTTATTACCTCTTCTTTAGATAAGACACACACAAGCACACACCTTCACTTGCACACAAATAAGCATGCACACAGCATGATAAGTCCATTTAGTATTGCTCATATGTATATGAGTTTATGATTGACTGCTTGGAATTGGACAATATATGAGCAGCTATGAGAAGACAGATTACCCCTATTTTAACTGCCATTTATTGCCAATAGTTCTTTATCTATGGATAAAGCCCTTTGAGATTTCCCACATCCATGTAGAATGTCAATTAGTATGGTTATTGTGTAGGTCTTGTTTAGACCACCATGTAGTTATGATGTCTTGAGTGCAGCTTCCCTGTCATATGTAGAAAATACTATTTCACTTCTAACCTTGATGTTCTAAAGTGCTTATAATCTTTATGCCCTTTGTCAGAGATGTTCCCTGAGCCTCAGGTGTAGAGTTTGTGTTGTAGATGTATCTGTTGGCGATTGGTACCCTGTGGTCAGATGTTCTTTTCTCTGAAGAGTTGTGGATTTCTATGATGGTCTCCGTTTGTTGCCAAAAGAAGTTTCTTTGGCTAGTGTTTAGACTAGTTTTAGTTTTTGTTTTTTTAGTCCACCATTATCTCTAATCAAAGAAGCTCCTTTTTGCAGCACACAGAGACTGTTACAGAGATCCATAAGTGGTCAAAATACAGAGAACAACTGAGTGTCCTATGGTCAGCCCCAGTCAATATTTGACTGTTATTTTTATCAAAATGCCATATATGAGTACTATATTTAAGTCATTTCTGCCCTACACGCTCCCCCCTTTGATATCTTTGTCCCTCCCACTCCACATATAACACAGCTCCTATGCCTGTGACTCCAGGAATATCTCTGAAGAAGAGGCAAAGGATAGAAAGAGCCAAAGGACCAAGACATCTGCTGTGATATATTCTCTTCCAAAAGGAAAAAAATAACGGCAAGAACATGAAATGTAGTGGTTATGGATAAGGGCTAAGATGACTTGTTGGAAGAGTAGAAAGTGAATATGATCAAAATATGAACATTATCAAAAATATCAAACAATTAAGGTACTATTTTGGAGACTCTTCTTTAGGAAGTGAGAACTATCCCTATTTGTCTTTCTATCTATCTATCTATCTATCTATCTATCTATCTATCTATCTAGATCCTTGGATGCAAATGGGAATTATACTCATTTAAGAAAGTGTCAGTCACAGGTCCTTCTTTAGAGCCCACAACATCACCATCCTTGGGTAGTTCATTAGGTTTACAGTACTAGACCTAAATTCCCTCCTGTTAAGCAGACCTTAAGTTCAATTAGACAGCTGTTGGTTACTTCAGGATTATAAATGCCACTATAGTGCCCTTAGGTATATTTTGGCATTCTGGTCCTTGTTATGGTTTCTAAGCATTACAGCAGTGTCTTAGGTAGGGTTTCCATTGCTGTGATAAAGCACCACAACCAAAAGCCACTTAGTATGAAAAGGTTTTATTTCACTTCAACTTAGTTGGGGCAGGAAATAAGAAACTAGAGGCAGGGACTGAAGCAGAGGCCATGGAGGAGTGCTGCTTACTGGCTTGTTCCTTATGGCTTTCCCTGCCTGCTTTCTTATAGTACCTAGGACCACCAGCCCAGAGGTGGTACTGTCCCAGTGAAATGGACCCTCTAACATCAATCATTAATTAAGAAAATGCCTATAAACTTTCTGGCAGGCCTATCTTAGGAGGCATTTTCTCATTGGAAGTTCTGCCTAAATGACTCTACCTTATGTCAAATATCTATCCAGCACATGGTGGATAGGAATATTGATTACATTTCTTCCTTGGCAGCTCATACAGCAACTTTCAATACTTTGAAAGCTAAACCTCAGGAATAAGGCCTCCATGTCAGATCCAGCTCAATCCCTCCAAGTCTTTTGTCTTAAGTGTATGGTATCTTCAGCAATAGGGTTTTACCTTTTTTTCTAGAAGGTACCCATGGGTAACAGTGCCCTTGTTGGTTTTGCTGTCAACTTGACACAGGCTAGATTATCTGAGAAGGAAGCACGACTGAGAAAATGCATCCATAAGATTGACCTGATGGCAAGCTTCATAATTAATTATTGATGTAGAAGGACCCAGGCATTTTGAGCAGTAGCATCACTGAGCAGGTAGTCACCATCCATTTATCAGCTTAAGGATATTTAGGTTTTCTCCATTTTCTAGCTATTGTAAATAGAAGATCAGTGAATGTGGCTGGACAAGTATCTGTGCAGTAGGACATCGAGTCCTTTGGGAATATGACAAGGGGTGGTTATGGCATGGTCATATAGTAGATTCATTTCTAACTTTTTGGGAATTTTCTGCTTGGATTTCCAGAGGGACAATCCCACCAAAAATGATTGGGGGTTCCCCTTTCCCCCACATCTTTACCAGAATTTACTTGCTAGAAGCCATTGCAGGCTTCTTAGAGGCACAGCATCCCCATGATCTAGCAGCTTATTTCAATAAGCTCAGCAACATGGAGCTCCCTCCCTCTAGCAATGCTACCTGATCTCTACATGATCTTATCTGGAGAATGATCCTGGGCCTGGAGGACTGACTTTATCCAAAAGCTGTCTCTAAAGCAGATGTCTGATTTATCTTTATCTTGACCCTAGGCACAGATCCCTGACATAACGACTTGGGCTAGGAGCTCTGCTGTAGGACTTTACTGTCATGTACTAAGCCTCATGATAGGAGTGTAGCACTTAATGCAAATTAGGGTTTGTCTCTGGGTCCCCCAATCATATATATTCCTTATACTCTGGAATAAAATCGAGCTGATTCACCGAAATCTATCTCCCAGAGGGCTGTCTGTTCATGTTCATCAGCTACCAAAGTTTTCTCTCTCCCAGTCTGCCTCTTTCCCCTCTTGACCTGATGGCCAACAGGCTGAGGGGTAAAGACAATCCCCACATTTGCTCTTAGCTGTTTTCTTAATATTAACCATCCTGAGTGGGTAAGGTGAAATTTCAAAGTAGCTTTAATTTTCATTTCATTAATTGCTAAGGAAGGATGTTTGCATGCCCTGGAATCCTAAAAAAACTCTAAACTGGAAGCCATCATATATATGCAGAGGGCCAGACCAGTGCAGACCCTTGTAGACCTGTGCATCCTACCTCAGTCAATGTGAGACCATATGAGCTGTGATTATGTTGAGTTAAAATTCCTTGTTTTCTTGATGTCCTCCATCCTCTTTAGTTCTTACACTCTTTCTGCCTTTTTTGCTATGGTTTTCCTGAACTCTGAGGGGAGGGATTTGATGTAGATATCCACTTAAGGGCTCAGTGTTCCAAGTCTCTCATCCACTACACAATATCTGGCTGTGGATGTCTGTATATATTCCCATCTGCTACAGGGTGAAGTTTCCCTAATGATGGCTGAGCAAGCCACTGACTTTTGAGTATAAACAATGTCATTAGGAGTCATTTTGTTGCTAGTTTTTAAAGAACAGTTGTACTTGGTTTTCCCCTAGGTCTCTGTACTATCTAGTCCTGGGTTCTTGATCAGCCAAGCAGTATCAGATGTAGGTTCCTTCTTGTGGAGTGAGCCTTAAGTCAAATCAGATATTGTTTACTCCCACAAGTATTGTATCACCATTGTACTAATTTACCTTGTAGGCAACACACCATTGTGGATCAAAGGATTCGTTCCTTAGACAATTTTTTAATTCAGTCATTTGTTTCCTTGACTTTTTAAAAAATCCTCTATTATATGTATTTTTAGAAAATATTCTCTCCCATTCTGTGGGCTTCTTATTTATTCGACCGATTGTTTTCATCTGGCTTTCCCTCTCAGAGATTTCCCCACCTCCCTGCCCAATATCAATTTCATACCCACCTTTTTATTCACTTTTGAAATGATGCATTGTCTATAATTTGTGCTGCCCATGTACTCCTTCGTGTGTGGCTATTCACTAGAGCTTGGCTGACCTACTAGAGGCCATATCCTTAAAGAAAACTAACGCTCTATCTTCCCTGGTGAGTGATCAATTGTTAATAGCAAGTCAGGTGTCCTTTTTAGGAGATGCATGAACTTCTTTCCACTCTAGGCTAGACTGTTAACTGGGTTGACCTTCTGCGGGCCTTGTACAGTCAGTCACTATTGTTGTGAGTTCATCAGTGTAGTAGTCCTGTCATATCCAAAAGACATTTGATTCCATCATCCCTGACCTCTGACTCTTACAGTCTTTCTGCTCCTCTTTCATGTGCTCCCTAAACCACAGAGAGAGGGGTGTCCCATTTGTGGCTGAGCACTCCACTGACATTGATTTTTCCCTTGAATCTTTACCCATAACTATAATGCATTCCCTGAGTGTTTCTAGGTATGTCATCAATGTAAATCTCAGAAAAGACAAAAGCAAAATGATATATTCATGCAGGCAAAGTGGGAGTGGGTAATGTGTTACCTAGCAGAACATTGCATGGCTAAGAAGAGCATGTGGTGGATATTCCCTCAGTATTCACAAAAAGAAGTAAAATACAGTATGCTTGTGAAATATTATAGTAGCCATTAAGCACAGGTTAATCTTTCTACTATTTCATTATATCAATAATTATTTCATTGAATATCTACTAAAGTTAGGAACTGAACTAAAAAGCAAATAGAAATACAATAATACTAATATAA